AAAGTCTGAATTTAAGGAGGTTGAATGACAAATGTACATTTCGAGTTAAATTTGTCAATTATCACACAATCCAATCATAAGCCGCAATTGATTGGTTTTATGGCAAAGTTACTGTGATAAAAAAAATTTGTAATTTTCTTTATATGTAGAATATCAATTTTTAAGTCTTATTACTGTTCATTTCTAACACAAGTTAGTGTACATAAACTCGGATAACTTTGCAAGTAGCAAATTCTCTTTAAGCTATGGAAATTGAAGATTGTTTCCTTTTCAAGCTCTCACACTATCTAAACTACATTTATGATTAAAATACCAAGATGTGCAAGATCAAATAATCCTACTCTTGCATATTCCTAAATATAATCATAACTGCTAGTGTGTTAAATCGTTGCACTGATACCTTGAGGCTAAGTCTTCATGCAAATCTTTTTACTCGCAAATTCATATCTCTGCTAGAAAGCGTATCATGTATATTCCATTCAATGTCTTGTTTGTGAAACCATATATCTCTCTACATGTCCCCACTCGTGATAATGTATATTCTCGTTAAAATATACTCCTTGTCGATACAACTGCTCCGTCTTCTCCACATCACACTTGATATACATAGTTATGATGCATCTGCCAACTAGCTTTTTCTAACTCTGCGAGTCATTTCAACTCAATCTCACTAAAACATGGTTGCAAATTTTTTCTCCCGGATTTATGTTCTAGCATCATGTATGTTGCACTGATATTCATCAATTATCTTTGACTGGTTAGCGATAAACTCAATATAATATCATAATAATAATTTAGGTGTACTGCTTGCGTGCTACTGAATTTCAACTCTTCCTTTGTGGTATATTTCTCCACACAACACATATATCATTACCATCATAAGAATGCTCTTTGTAGAGGGTCAAAGAACTCCGTGTTCTTTGACCCTCTACAATTCAAGTGGAGTCAAATTGGGGTTCGGAATCAGTGGCACATACACACTTAATGACACCCTTTTATCCGGTAACAATAGCATAATTATCCATACTTCAAATTTTATAAGAAGGGCCATATCGCGCAACTCTCCCTATACCAGGCGTCATAAGATTTGGCATTCTACTTTCTATTTGCCAAAAATAAGTATAATAATTAAAAATAAGTAATAATTTTCCGAGTTTATGTCGCTATCCACGGTTCAATAGTCACAATAGCCGAGAGGGGGCTGTTCAATGGCCGCCTTTGTGGCCATAATAGTGCGGGCGGCATAGGAGGTTTGTTCAATCTCAACAATCAACCTGTCATTTTTGGGTAGCATGAGTCGTCAAGAGAAGCATGAAATGGAATTTGGCCTCAGTCCAATTCAACGTGTGCCAAATGGAATGATTACGACACTATAATGCCTGTTCAACCTGCCATTTTTGAGTATCATGAGTCGCCAGACCCTTCAGGAGAAGCATAAAATTGAATTTGGCCTCAGTTCAGTTCAAAGTGCGCCAAATGGAACTATTACGACAGTCCAATGCCTGTTCAGCGTGCACATCGGACGTGAGAAGCGTGATGGTCTAGCTGTTAAGAGATAGCGCATGAAGAATGTGCAATTGTTCCGGTTTACTTTTTGTCCTAAATCGCAACACACAGATGAATGGGCGAAATATCAAACTCTTTCTTGTGCAGAAAAACTGGCGTATTTCAACAAGAAGGAGACGACGGGAATCAACGCGTTTCTCGACAGGGACTGTGACAACTTGACGTTTGTTATACGCAGCCAGCCATTGTCGACAAGATTGTTGAGAATCTGTTTTTCAACTCCATGGAAGACGAGGAAGATAACGATTCAAAACTGATCATCAAAGCGAATGCCATGAAACTGTTCAAGTTGCAAGAAGACGGATCGTACCTGATCATCATCTAGAACTCACCACGTTTCAATCTTGCAATTGAACACGTGTTTGTTGGATTGTCGTTTCGCCAGATTGCAGCTGTTATCACACAACATCAAAAACTATGCAAGAACTCAAAGCTTGAGGGTATCAACGATCACATGGTGGGACAGTTTGTCCGAGTGCTCCTCACCATCGCCCTCCAGTCGATATACACCATTTTGAATGAAAAACATGTATGAGCGTTTTCACTTGCTACTGATGCCAGCTCACATATGTGAGTATCTCTACTTGATCAACATATTCGAATATGCGTTGAGGGAGTGCTCTACAACCTTCATATGGAAATGGTTCCATTCTTTGAATGTCATCTCGCTGTCAATTACGTGAAACTCATCAAAATCATGTTGGATATTCTCTGCTCAGATTTGAGCTCCAAATTGATTTTGATCCGCTCTGACGGAGAGAACACGATGATCGATCGACATAGAGTAGTTCTCACCTTGCTCAAGAAAGAGTGCAACAACCATGTGCTCCGGATTTATTGTGTATCACATCAATTGGACATTGTCGTTAAGAACGCCACACAAGATATTTTGGATCAGACGTTTTACAAAGTACCTCATGACTATTTTGTTCATCTTCGAGTGCAGCAGAATCTGATCATAGACATGGGAGTCAAATGTCCAAAAGACACGACGCGTTGGGTTGCTTTTGGTAGCATTTTGCACTGACTTCTTCAGAATTATCGCCGATTGATGATACATAACGTCGCGAAATGCCCTGTTCAAGCACCATCGAGAATGCGGTGGGTTATTGCGACTGCTATTTCATCATTGTTTGACAGGATTGTAACCACCTTCACCAAGATCCAGGCCCGCAACATCGTAATCTCACAGCAGCGACAAGAAGTGTCAAAACTGATCGTTGATATTGCTACAGGTTTGTACATCCGCCCCGTCACCATTGAAACGATGAAAGTGATTGATCCGCTCACCATCATCACGCAAAACGATTGGTTCATCAGAAAAATTTGGTCATTATGCACATTCAAGATCAGGTATGTTGGGTTCGTGACTTGTACTATGATCTTTCTGATATTGACAAAGAGACAACTTTGAAAGCAATCACTATCTTTGGCATTTCTATTATTGCTAATGTATTGTAGGTGAAAGCTAAGCGTGATTCGAATAACAACGTCCGGGAGTTGGAAGCACCCCCTGTTATGCCCGCGGATCTCGTTAGGATCCGCCCAGCTGCATTCATCCAGGATGTGTTGGATCCATATCGCGATCATATCTCGAAACACTGGTCTCATCAGCATATCGACGGCGTGGAGAAAGAACATCGACATTTGCGTGCGGTATACGATCACAAGTCACATATCGCGAAGGCATTCAATCAACATCACGAAGACACATTTTTTAACGATGCATGGGACGTTGTCAAGGGGCGATTCAGTGTTCTGCGCCAATTTTGTGGTGGATTGGCGACGGCCTTTTCCAACACAGCGACTGTTGAAAGTAATTTTCCGATGGTCAAGTGGGAAAAAAACGACACTCGCACAAGCTTGACCAGCGTGGTGCTGGCTGGTATCATGCAAGCGAAGCAATTCGAGCTTTTGAAGTCCCTTTTCAAACGTTCAAACACTGAGATCTGTTCAAACACGATCTCTGTGTCGCTTTCTGTAGTTCCCGGTTAGTTGGTGCTTTGATCTCTTTGTCTCTTGAAACCTCTGACTATCAAACGAACATTTAGTCAGAGTTCGTTCATAGCTGTGGACGATTGTCCTCCGCTCAAATTGTCATTAACTCTCGTTTCATTTGGAGTGGATTCTGAATCAAATATGTTCTCAGAGATCCATTGTTACACGAATAGGCTCATATCGTCATTAACTCTCTTTTCATTTGGAATTGCATCTGAATTGGGCCTTTCTCCGTTCCGAGGAGTTTATGCATCGGTCTCTGTCAGTGTGTGCCACCAAGAAGGATGACTCGGACAAGTAAGCAGAAATCACCTGTTAGTGCAATATTCTCTCTACGTGTTTCCTCGTGTATTTTGCGCCAATCTCTCGCAGAGTAAGATGAAACGATGTGCTCACGTTGCTGGAGCATCGTCTGATGGTCATTGCCTAAATTAACTAAAGAAAGTTGCCAAAATTAAATTAATTTTGGCAAACTTGGCATTTGCCACAAACTATGAGACCTGCCCTATACTCAACTCTTGCTTTTTCATGTGAGAGTGGTTATTACTCGTAACTGTAACTTTCAACTCTTACGTCTAAGGTGTATCTCACCTCTATCTCTCACCCCAATCCTACTTATGTTTCTTCTGTTATTAATTTGACGCTTAAAGTCTTACTGAGAAATATCTACTTATACAACTCGATATTTCCGAGAGGAAACTAGTTGTAGACAAAAATGAAACTTGTCAAAATCTTTGTTAACATTGAAAGTTTTACAACTTGAACATATTGCCTTACTTTGAAACCAATCAAATAATTTCCTTATATCAACGTCTTCATAAGGAACTACAAATCCCAAGCAGAATACGTCGGTATGTGTGTGGCGGAGTAACCCAGGGATCTCTCTGGGCGAGAGCTTTGACTGATGTTGTTATTATGACACCGCGTGATACTCGAATACGAAGTATACCTCGCCTGCTTCCTGTTTGTCCAAAGTCTCGCTCATGAGGACTCCATGTACCAATTGGGACCATTTAATCCTCAACCGACCATTTTTCCTAACAACATGTGTTTTTCGAGAACGAGGGTTACTCGGCGTGCTCCCGTTACTCATTTGGAGGCCAGACACCATCCGGGACTATTTAGTACCATTCGCACCCGAGTACGATAATATTAACAAAAACAAAATGAAAAACATCACAAGAAATTTAATTATGTTTCAACGGTATATTCCCATATGATAGGAATACGCAATGAGGCCTTAATTGATCTTTCTGCAGATGTGGCAGTAAGATCGATGGAGATGAAATCTCACACCTGGACACCTGGTTTCGCATTATCACCTACAAGATCAGGCTTGCAATTTACCTCTTCCAGGAGATTACAGAATGCATGACATCAGTCACGAAGAGAAAGGTCTGTTGGAGGTTGTCATAACTTATGACAGTCATCATGTTGATCATCTTCAAGTAACTGCTGTCAGATGTGTACTTAGTAGTGATTTCCTCCTACCGAAAGCATTAGGGTTACCGACCTTATCACTAGAAGTTCTTTCAAAGACGCTTGTCCGGGTCCGGTTTGTTACTCTCATGACCTTTGATGACAAGTACGTCCTTTCCATAGCTCTTCCACTGAAGATACAGTACACTCTAGTATACACGACTGTGTTCGACTGGCATGTGTAAACTCTAGTCATAATTAAACACCTGTCAAAACGTGGAGAGAATAACCCCACACTAAGGCATAGGGGTGTATGACTTGAGAGTATTACGCCGAACAGCTTCAAAGTTGCGTTTATGTACATCGCAATCTACAGATGAGAAACTCTCAGATTCACGACTTGTTTGAACGGAGAGTAAAAGGTTTTGTACCACCGCTATTTCCTTTATTGAGATTGCATGTGGCATTTCAGTTCGAATGCCACTATGAATAAATTCCAACTTGAGGACTTTCGAGAGATGAGAGCTGCCTCTGGCAATCTCAATTCTTCTGACAAGCTTAACAAGATTTTGGACGTTTTGGATCTCTAACAAGGTTGGAAGTGTTTGGATATTTGATCTGGACTACATTTCTGTCCAGGGGTTAGTGATAGCTTCAAAACTGCTCCAGGCACTTGCCAACTTTGGCTGGCTGATGGATGCAACATGCCAACCAAAAGTTCCACTCCATCGACAAGTTTTGGACCCGGGTAACTGAAGTAAATATGCTCGCAAATATACACGCGTCCGGCTTCGACAGCTGGAAGAGACCAGAAGCCTGAAAATTTGACAATCTTTTGTACCTGCATCAAGAAACCAACATTCAGTTGACCGCTGGTTAAAATTACGCAGATTGCCTGCTTTGGCAGTCGGACATGTACTACGCACAGAAAAATAAATTGAGCACGGTATCATTACGGCAACGAACCTCGGACAAAGTTTGCTCCGCACTAGGTGTAAGATGTGCGAAAATGAGAACCTCTGGTGCATAGTTTGTGATACGACGCCACAATAGAGTCTCTGCATTACAACCAGGCTTTTGAAGATCATCAAGCCCACCAGCTAGGCTTTCCATTTCCGGAACCCAATGTCCACCCATGATAAGAGGGTCTAGACTATGCAGAACAAGTACGCGGGGCCTATGTAACCTGGCAACCGCTACCGCAGCTTTTCGCAACCTTGACCTTAACCAGTCTGCCAATAAACACGCCTCATGATACAAGCCGACCCTGTCCCCTAGCTCCACAATCCCGGAGATCGCATCTGCGACCTGCACCACCGGTCACATGAATGAACATCGGGAGTCACAAAATTAACTTTTGAAATTGTCATCACAAACGGCGCCGATGTCTTCCAAAAAGGCTGGACTGTTGGCTGCAATACTGATACACGCGTTGATCGTACTGACAAAATCGTATATCGTACAGATCGTAAAGCTATCATCTATTGTCATGGGTAAAATGAAGACTATATGCTAGTACTGTGCATTATGGGGTCCAGGTTGAGGTTAAGTATATAATCCTTACAGTGTGGGGCCTCAGGATCATGATTTGAGTGTTCTTCCCACTTTGTAGCCCTGCCTGTGCCAGTATCCCAACTATTGACGTACTGCATGTATCACCGTGTAGCGAAGAATCCTAATATATGGCATGAAAAGTTAGCAAGCATCAACTTGTATGATTAGCTCCAAGAAAGCGATTAGAATACAATTTCGTTCAGAACCTCTCGAAGTTTTCTTGAACTTCAGAACTTGAATCCAACAACTCCAAGGTTCACCTGAATGATGATTAGATCGGGCTTTGCTTTACAGAGCCAGGAGACATCAAGTCTCATACTGCTTCCATTCCCAAGAGTTCCTACAGGTTTCTGCGAACGAGGAAGTTGGTTAAGTTTAAGAAGCCCTTGTAAAGTTGATATTGATACAGGTCAAAACGATTCTAACAAGTGCCAGTATGTACTTCATCGGCTCAAATGGATAATAGAGGAGTTAGCTTAATAACATGCTAAGTGCTCTGGCTGATCAAACTGTTTTACATGCGAAGAATAAAACCACCATCAATTCACAATCGATTAACCCAACAATCTCCAAATAAAGCAGATATCTATGCATACAGCAAGGCCTCGGAAAACATCTCCTTCGGGAGCTGATACAAAGACAACGTCTGGCCCTAGGAACTTGATTGTACCGGTACTTCCACATACGTCTGCATTCTTGACCCAGGCTCCACCTTGGTACGACACACCTGAAAGCCCCAGCATATTTGAGACCACGCAAGTGGTCAGAGAGAAAAGAGTCATAGAAAATGAGGGAACTTAGCTTACACATATCTCTCAGCAAAATCCTCAATTGTTGTACTATGTAGGGTACTTGGGGAATTCCTGTAAATATCGATCAGTAATCGTACAGACCAATTTGATGCTTAGAGACGTGTTCAGGCTGCACGGTACTTACATTGTAGAGTTCGTTCGAACATCCACTTGGCCTGACGCATGATTCTGTAACTCCTATTAACCTCTTCCCAGCACCTGTACAAATGTTATGGATGTCAAAACCATGTTTGTGCAAAACCTTTCTGTATGAAGAACAATGATGGTCCTAAGCAATCACGACTAAGTCAACTTCGCTTGCAAGATTTGGATCTCCGTGGCCTTACCTAGCTCATACAAAATTTCGGTTGCTGAAGGAGACAATGAAACGATCCTCTCAGGTAGAGCTCTTGAAGTAGGAGAACTTGACGAGAATCGACTACCCGATGGAACTTTTTCCAGATGTTTAGGAACTTCACCATTTACCAACCATCCAAAAGTTCTCCTGTTTGCAGTCAAAGGCGGCAAGTGTTTCCGATGGCCACCTTGAACTAAGTTATCTTTATCTAAATTCTTTTCTAAGCTATTTCCATGTCGTCCTCTAACATTGGAATTAATGTCCTCAACATCATCACGAGAATTGTAAGCCTTTCCTGTTGTACTCGCAAAACCAGCTTTAGTTGAAACCCTCCTATTATAATCTTCACTCCTAGTAATTTCACCTCCTAATTTTGAATAAGAATTATTTTCCTGATCTAATTGTCCAACCCATATCTCTGATTCTGATCTCACCAGCCTGCCGTTATTTCTCCTCCCTTCGTAATGCTGCTTCATACTGCTTAAATCGAAGGATCCGGAACGACGCAAGAACAAGTCCGAATTATCACCCACACTTTGATACGGTATGAGACTCTTTGTTTCCCCCATTGCCTCTGCCACGGCCGCTGCTGCTGCTGCACCAGCTGCGGCAGCAGCTACAGGACCTGCTCCTGCAACTGCCGAAGCAGAGGCAGCAGCCACAGCTGCTGCTTTTGTTGAATCCATCCTGTACGCACCACCAATAGGGCATAAGAAGAGCTCCGAGCTATCTGTAGTTTACGGCGATGATAGTTGGTTGGGGCGACCAAATGTGTGAGCGGTCAACAGTCTGAGAGAATAATATAATAGGAGATTCCAAGGAGCGCTTAGGAACAAGCAGTCCTGACAAACATTGGTTACGCTACCTGCTGTCCTAAAATACAGGTCACAGTGCACCCCTCTTTGGTTCAACAAGAGAAACAGAACGATGATAGCATTCTTGCAAGGTAGCCACACAACACGCTTGAACCCTACTTAATACTAGGAATGCCTGAACATGACTGATGCAAACTGCGTTCCAACCTGCAACGCTCCACAAACGACACAGCAGCAGCTGGGTTGCTGCCGAAATGTAGATGAACGAAGCTGGCCATAGTGTTGCCGTGCATGTATCCCTCGACGTCCTCCGCAGCCTTCCGGTACTCAGCTTTAGTGCAGAAACTGCTCAAGCACATTCAAACGTTGGGACACAGAAGAAAATCTAAAGGTTGGAGAACGTACGGAACATTCCATTCTCCTCCTGTAGGTACAGAGGTTTTGTTTACAGCGTGGAAATGTACTACTACAATCTCATGTCCGACATACTCTCTAATATGACGACATATTTTTTAAGCGTCTAATAACTTTATGACAGCGACATCAAGCGCAGCTATCAAGCGACCAAAGAAATACGAGAGGGCACGGATGAGACGTACCCTTTCGGACACAAATTGATGGTGTTGCTATTTGCATAGAACATCTCGCTGAAGTGGAAGATTTGGCCACGTATTTCACCGATTGAAGCTGGAAAGAGCACACAATTGTCCTGAGGAGTGACCTGCAGGAACACACGAACAAAATACGTACGATAAGTATTTATCAGAGAGTAAGGTTTTCATACTAGAACATCCATACAAACATCTAGATCAGGTGTGAGAACCAAAATGAGCTAGGAGACTTATGAAGAATGTGACTTGGTCAAGCTCTCTGACTTAGTGACATGGATACCGCCCTCATTTTCATTTTTCACGTTCCGAGTTCAAAGCGGCCTCCCCGTTGTCTGTCCAAATATCTTAAACTTGAAACACATACCGTGACATAGCCCATGTGCATCACAGGCTGCATACGTGTCCAAAAAGGAAAGACGCCACACATACTCCATTTGCGCTGTTCGTCATCCTGGTTGCAAATCAATAGACAATTCGTTCATACTTGACACAATAAACTCCTGATGAGTGAAAATAAATTTTCATACAAGCGAAAACAACAAGGAAATCACTTCTAACATTTTCTAACAACCATCGACAAGTGGGTGAGACGAATTTGAACTTCCAAAAGTGAGACAAACCGTACCTCGATGCCCTGTGAAAGATACATCAGACCACCACATTCCGCAAATATCACACCTCCTGCGTTAGCAAATGCTCGTATTCCATACAATAACCTCTTATTGCTGCTAAGTTGTTCGAGGTGAAGCTCTGGATAACCACCTCCAAAGTAAATTCCATCCAGTCTGGGAGGTAATGTATCTCTCAGGGGAGAAAACTCGACAAGCTCTGATCCTGCATCTGTGATAAGATGTATGTTAGGATTTGCCTGACCACGTAGGAAAAATCAACTTCTGATTGAAATTCAGTTTGACTCTGAAGAATTGTAACAACATTAGTAGTCGGACGAGAATGGAAATAGAATATAGCTTAGAAATTACTTTGAAGCAGTAGCAGATTCTCGTGGTAGTAGAAACAGAAAGCATCATCTCGCGCTACTCCGATGCGCACGGGCTTTGGATGAACCACTGAACTATTATAGAAGAGATCTAAAGATGGATTCCCCAGAATGTCGCCATGGACGGATTCCAAAGGAACAGCCTGCTCCAGGATGGAATCCAGATCGACGTGAGATTCTATCAGATCAGCGAGTCTTTGTATGTAGTTCACTGGCACTTCTTCATCCACAGGTGGATGTGCACCAAGATGCATTTCAGGGAGCTCAATTCCAGCAGACTTAGGAACCCCTCCGAGAACTCTTACATCAGGCTCCGTTGCCAAAATAGCTTCTGTCAACCAGGCTGTGTGAGAAGAACTTCCCACCTGCATCAGACAAAGAACTATCACTATCTAGAAAAAGAAGTAAACGTGTTAGTGTCAACAGATCGTCTGCCACTACGATTCCAAATCATATGGAGACAAATAGTTACTAAAGAAGCACACCGGTGCAACCAGTGAGAACACATGATAGAGTTTAGGGGCAAGCTTGGGGGGCTTTCAGAAGGTTGAGGAGTGGACTTTCTACATATAAGTTGTTCGTTTTCTAGGCCTTAGGTTCGTGAAGCACTTATCATCAAATGTACACCTCTTAATCAGTGGAAGCTTTGCCTCCTCGTTTGAAAGTCGTAAGTCTGGTCTTTCCTCCTCTTTCAACTACGACAACCTTGGACAGTTGGCTACTTACAGAGTGTGAGAAGAAGGGCTCCTACGGGGATTAAGTTAGTTTAGTTGCTTTACCACATGATCCTGTGACACAGCATCCTCTCCATCTTGAATCGCCGACAATTCTGCGTATGGTTGTTTGAACTCTTGTAGCCTGTGTTCCTCGTTTCCCAGACAAATAAGCTCAATAAGCCTACAGGAGTAAGGCTAGAGCTATCACTTAAGCACCCTGGTCAAGAAGGTTAAGTATCAAGATCTCATTTTTGACCTACGCGGTAACGTATATTCGAAAAACTCTTCTTAGTCGACCCCCAAGAGACTAATTGTGGCTTGTCTTCCTGATTCACAGTTCCTGCCATGTTCATTGACTGGCTTGTCACATCTGGAATAGACTACGAGGGAGAAGCAGTTCCATTCACTACAACTTGTCAACATGAATCAGGCATCAGGGAAGTAAATAAATTACGAAGGAGCAGCTGAGTAAAACACCACATCCAAGTAAGGTCCGAGTGTTAGCGGCGTCATCCTGATTAAAGAGAAAGTAATTTGATTTTGTTTATTTTATAAATAATCAGTGTTGGTGGTTGGACACCGACAAGCCACATTTTTTAATGATCACATGCAAAATTTGACGCTCAAGCGACTATCTATCCCAATTCTCCAAAAATTTGTTCGCAGACTTGTCCACGTATTTTGATAAAGCCAAGTCTAATTAAGAGGACAGTCTACATTTCTTTGAGGTTCATTCACTAATTGAATTACAGTTTACGTTCCTCTTCTTGAAGTAGGATTTCACCTTGTTAAGTAACACTCCCGCAAATTTGACATCAGGGTCGAATGAAGTGTATCCCCGAATCAGTGCAGCGGCACTTCTAGCAAGCTGCCAGCAATCAAGCACCAGCACTACAGGCGTACCTAGCAGCTTTGCCATCTCTGCTGTGCTGCCCGAATCGGACTTTCCATCCCTCCCATCATACAGACCCATCACGCCCTCCACGATAGCAATATCCGTGAAAGGGGTGCATCGCATGAAGCAGGCTAGATTCACTTCTCTGACAAGAAACATACCAAAGTGTGTCAGTAAAATGGGTAGGAAAATACGATAAAATCATAACCCTTAAAGATTACTCAGACTGCGAAGTTACATTGATTACCACGCAAGAAAGTGGAACACTCTTGCATGTATTCATAGAATGGAGAATTTCTTATTCCTTTGTACCTGCTAAGCATCCAACCATCAAGGTTGTACGAGTCACGACCAGTTGCTGCCTTGTGATGCATGGGATCCAAAAAATCTGCACTTCCAAGACTCTTAAAGATCAGGAATCATATAACACTGAATTACCGAAGATGAAAACAGTCTGAAACTAAAACTAATCGCCATGGCTACTCACTCATTGGATCAAATGAAGACGTCAACTTGCCTATAAAATAGTTCTTGTGAGAGCTGGAGCTCGAAACCCTATCAAGAATCGAAAAATTCTGTTACAGAGCAAGCCCAACAAGCGATCTTGGTTTGTCGATCACGAATTACTAGGTCGGTTAAGCATCGAAGTCCAGTACTATTTGTAATTGATCTGGCGATTTTTTGAGGTTAAGACACCTATAGAGAGATTAAAGCGACGCGTGAAATTAACTACCTGAGCTCCGACAGATTTCAAATGAACCAACAACAAAGGAGAGATGAGAATGAAAATCGTTCAGACGCATGCTCTATGTTAATCCGGATCTCGTGCTAATGGGATCTAATTGCCTGTTCATTAAACTAGTTTCATAAAGACAACCGCAGGACAATACAAGAGGTCGGCAATCATGGGAGTTCCATCCCTCTACCCGATATACATACATTCCTTCCTTCACCAACTTTTGGTTCGACCCAGGAGTTTCAAATTTCTGCTAGCTGAAGGGCATGTCTTTATGGAGCGATTTCAGATTACTGATCTTCGTGCAGTGTTATCAGAGTTTGAGGTCATCAATTCTAGAGTAAGTAAGTCAACCCTGTAAAAGGTAAGACGAAAAGGCTGGAGAAAGTAATAAAAAAAAGTATCCTTGTCGGAATCGTCTAAAAGGTGGAACTTCCCTCGCTTTGCGATTGGGAGTCATTTCGCAACCCAAATTATATTGGATTGTCGGGAGCAACTTGGGACTCTACCGGAGGCGAAATCGAAGGAACGTATTTACAGTTTCTACTAACGGAATTATTAATCAGATGAATCACTTGAGATTTACGACCGAATGGTCCTATGTGTATCAGAATCTGAGTGATCTCAGAAACAAATGTTTCAGCGGCCTCAAAGCAGATCCCAATTGCAGGTAAATACCTTCCTTCTTACTTACGAATATTTCCCTTCCGGAAGGTAAATCTACGCAATCCTGCATGTGGCTAGCAATTTTCACTCTCCTATCTCCAGAGATGGGAAGCGCACCTGGTCCAACTTTGAAGGGCTGCACTCGCAGGCCACGGCGGCAGAAGGCAGCCATGAGTCCCACCGCAATGCTGGTCTTGCCAACACCGCTATTGGTTCCCGCCACCAGTATTGTCTTCATTTTACCCTACGTTTCGCTAGGCAACCTCTGACAAGTTTATGTTATACACCGCCACCTGCGGACAAAAGGTCGCCAAAGTCGCTAATTCCATGACCTTTGATAGTGAAGTATCTGCCCTCCACCTACTGCCCGTCGGGCCAAATGTGCGATCGCGAGCTGGAGACTCCATGATTGCTGCCGAACCATGGTTGAACCTCAGAAGTGAAACTACCTTCTCTACATCAAGAACAATCCTGCGTAATTGGAAATGGCCCTCCTAAAAGCACCATCCTTTCTTGTACACCAAACTAATAGATCAGTCCACACACGAGAACCGACCCCACCGTGCTGGAGCTAGCCTTCGACTAGCTTATCAACCTGCAAACTCCGCTCAAGAGCTACTATCCAGTCCAGGGCTCCCGCCAAGTCCGTAAGTGCGACTGCAAGGTGTGGAATTATGAGTCTCCTCCAGTGTCTCAAATTTCACCCGCAGCCCAATACACTCAGAAGTTCAGGGTACGGTGGAAACAGAGATTCTGTCTGTTCCTGATGCTGAAGAATTCCACAATCCGCACCCAGTGATTCCTCAATTTGAATACAGACGGTGAACCATTAAACAGGTCTTCTACGCAGTCTACGTGCAGCCATTTGCGCTGGTTGGTGCTGAAGTGAGCAGAATTACGCCGCAAACTTGCATACTAGAACGCAATGTCTCTTCCCTGCCCACGAATTAGGGTGAACTCCTGCTTGTGACGGAAAAAGAGGTTGACGAGCCATTCCAGCTCACACGTCCATGACATATGCGAACCACAGCCGCGGCTCCAACGCATTCTGGTGGAAGACTCAGGAATACCGGGGAAAAAACTCAAGCCCCTGGCGGTAAGAGAGCACACAAAAACAGCATCTTTGCGCCGAATCCGGCTGCTGTCACAGACCCTGCGTGTTGCTCCATCCCACCGACAGATTTCTCACTTCCTGAAAACTCACATCGAAAGCGTGGCTGCAGGCTTTCCTCCTCCGTCAGAAGGCGTGCGCAGAAACAGCTTCCCCTTTCTCCAGACACGAAAAGCTGATCCACGAGTTCCGTCTCCGCGCCACAGATACAAATTACAGAAATCGCCCCACCGTCATCCCCTGGAGCCAAGAGAAGAACCAGTGCGCCGTCTCATCCTCGTACCGGGGCAAAATCAGTACGAGATTTCTCGAACAGTGGATCCACAGGCTTCATTCCACAATGCAAACCCAAACAAAACCAATTCCCCCGCCTACAACCAAACCGATAACGATCGAACCTAAACCCCGCGCTCAATCCTAGCACTCAAAGCTGTGCCACTCCGCGAAGCGACGAGACGGCACGCAAGATTGCGTCCCAGGCTACGCAGGCGGGGGGCGACCAGAGCAGAGCCTGGCGAGCTCGTTCCACGGAGAGCAAGCCGGGCAAGCTTCGAGCACATGGCTCCGCGGAACAGAGCGCAGGGCAAGTGTTCAGGGATCTGTGCAAGAAGATGCAGAGGTCGCGGTTGGGCGACAGAGCATGTTTCTTCTTCGGCTCTCGCGTCGCCGAGAGCGGGAGTCTCTCGCCCGAGCGCCAGGAGCATTTAAGGCCTCAAGTAAATACAAACCCGGCAAAAATAATTGCTGATTATTTCCAATTTCCACTCGTCGGCCGCTAAGTGGGGTAATGCAGCTTACGTCTGCTTAACCCGCAGCTCATTGGCTGGTGGCGCCCTGCGGATCTATCAGCCAGAGGCAAACGGAAGCCCTTGCGAGTGTTGATGATGCTGAGGTGTCGGGCTTTCGACGGAGGTCCGGCCTTCCAGGTCTTTGCTTTTGGAGCTAGCTCCTCGCCCCGTCTCGGCTCGAGGCAGTCCAGAGGTTGCTACCTTTCGGATGAAATTCGTAGGTTCAGATTCGCGCTTGTGCAAGTTGTGCTCTGCCCTTCCTGGGGTGAAACAACTCTCGATTCTCTGGAATTGGTCTCCTCGGCACGTGAGAGAGGTTAGCTGACACTTGCAGCTGAATCCATCGCGAGTAGTATGACACCCTCGGTCCGGCCTCCGGATTCAGGAAGTTGGTCAATGTCAGTGGCAGAGGTAACTTTCCCTCGCCCGGCGGAAGCAGTTGTTATAATCCCGGGGTTTCGGCCGGTCAGCTTTCGTGGGTCAGGTTGAGCCAAAAATCCTCGAACGTGGTTCTTCTGTCTCTGAGATCCCTGCTCAGTGCTTTCAGGCGTCCCTCACATTCTCGGTCGGTTATCAATCTTCAGCTGATCTACCCCATTTCTAGGAACCTGTTTACCATATCTACACCTCGAGAGTCTGGTCTTCGTTGATCGATCTGGCAGTGGCACGCAATTCCGGGTAGATGCGTCGCTTACCTCGTCCGCCAGTCGGGGCTCTTAAGTCGATTGTTTGGAGGGCTGCTTTTTTTAGTGTCCAACTCTCTCTAATTTAATAATTTACTCTTTCCATATAACGTGAAGATGCTCCATGGGCACCTCCTCACCTCCGTTGTCTCTCTGAGGATAATCTTTGCCACATGAAACGTGCGAAAAGGTGAGCTCTTGGATGTGACGTGATCTTTATTGTATGGGCTCGGGAGCATGAAATCTTTCCTCTTGTTAATTCGAGCGTTCGTCATCAAAGGTTTTGAAATGAGCGCGCGAGTCAGACGAAGATAAAGAAAAGCAACCCCCTAAGACGGTCTGAAGCCCATGCATGTACGTCTGGCTTGAAATGGCTCTATCATATTTGATATATATCGGCGGATGGTGGGCAGTGCATGCTATTCCAAAGTGCGAGAACCACCGAACGAAATGTGGCTATATCCCCTTTCTCCCTTTAAGGATGAATGGATGCGAGACGGGAGGCCAGATAAGGAAGGTAGTGATTCCGGTACGACATCTGGGAATCCTACGATGCGAGCGGCGGGCTTTAGAGCAATTTGAACGCATCATGAACAAATTTTAAAGAAAAGCCTTCCATCATATGAAGCCTACGCCCCGATATGCCACAAGACCTACCCATCATGAAGGTTTCATGATCGTCACAACTCGCAGCTGATGCAGCGGCATATATCATTGTTCGATCGATCTATGCATACGTGTTGGAAAAAGTTGCAGAACATGAATCGTCAAACTATCTGGTTCATGTATCAAAGACAGCACGGAGGAGTCAATGAACAAGAAAGGTAGGTTCACTGAGTGGTCCGAGTAGATCTGAATCATTGCAGCAGACGTCTCCATGGGGCAGGTGACTTACTGTGAAGTGGGAATGACCCTCGACCTGACCGCATCTGTCCGATGCAGTCAGAATACAGCTTGCAAGAGAATCGCCTCCTTCATATAACCTGGTAAAGTTGTCGATAAACTTATCGATAGCCACCCAGTGGAAAGTGATGAACACTTGTAGAATTGGAAAAAGGTACAGAAAAGGGTACGCAAACACTGCCACATGAGACCACCCAACTCTACTATGGACATACATTTACAACTGATTATAGTCAACCCAGAAGACCAGAACCTACCTGGTAACGACTATTTCATCACATGCATCTGGATTGAGCTTGCTAAAATTTCACGTTTCAGTAAAGGTGGTGGTGCAGTCAATGCAGTGATACGAGCAAATATCCGCACCAACCAATGGGAACTTCCCTCTCTACCCTTATGGGATATAGTCTTTCAGATATGGAGTAAATGGGACCGAGTAGTTGCTTGCTGACTTCGACTTTTCTTCGCCGAGTGACTTCGTCATACACGAGAGAGCAGACGAATATGCCCTTCTTCGGTTATCTGGTTATGTCTACAATTGTGGATGAAAGACATGGATGGCAAAAAGGATCAATCTACAACTCCACTTTAAGCTTTCAGAACTTTTACATCTTCAAAGACGATGCATACACTTCAATTTATTTCAAAGCAATATAAGCTATAAGTCGATTAAGACAAAGCGAGATCAGATATTTGAGTCGAAAAGGTAGCCTCGTTTTCAATGCCAAATTAACTTATCAGATATGATATAATGAGAAATTGGATTCTCAAATCATCTCCTTCCGATAACGTGAAGATATGATCAGTCAACATCGTTGTGAAAAGGTATGAAGCAACATACACCATTAAGATTTTTCATTGACAACAACCATTAACTTCTTATTCCATCTTGAACCAAAGGTTTAGCTTGATTCTCTCTACATAGACAAAAATATTAGTGAGTTCAAAACTTTATCATTAGGTTATGGACTGTCTCAAGCCTACACCCTCAAGTCTGGAACCCCTTTACGGTATAATCTATAGAAGCCAAGGTCTTTGAGGGAATTTTCCAAAGTTTAGTGCTTTACAAATGAACGTTCTCTTTGTTCCTTCAATTGTAGAGTATTCCTAGCTATGGATAAAGATCTTTACATATTTCAGAGTCCGAATCTCAGTTATATAACTTATGGTTGGTTTAACATGAAATTTCATTTACTTTTATTATACTTAACTGGTTTTTCTCAATGCATTTAAGCATGTCATTTTTTTTCGAAAAGAACTTCATGTGTTATCAAAATCAAGTCAGATGTGTGTTTACATGTAAAAACTTATTCACATTTCTTTCCCCAAATTTTTTTTTGATTTTATAACGTCAAGTAGTCAAATCATACACTACACTTATTTTATTTATTACTTAAAATTGATGAAAATATAAAATTAACATGACATAGTTAGCTATAACTTTATCGAGTATTCTATAACCCAAATTTTTTACTATAAAAAAATAAATACTCATATACTATTCCTACAAGTAATAAATTTATGACATGCATTTCAACACTTATATAAAAGAAAGTGTTTATATTTTGGTTTTAACATGTTGTTCTATCATGAAATGTTGAACTAAGGTTGATTTTTACTTTATTTTGGTTATAGATTAATGATCTAAAAGGTCTGTAATAATGTGGAAAAAATTTGATAAACATCAATTAAAATTAATTAAACTTTAAGTTTTAAAAAAATTAACTAGGTTCTTGAAGTGTTAAGCTAATTAGTCAATCATTGTATATGAAAACTTGTAGTGATTATTTTTCACAAATTAATGTTTTTTAGTGAAGTTTCTTGTGGTACTTTGGTCGTAGTCATGTGCATTTTAAGTTGATGATCACTTAGGTTTTACCTCAAATGATTTTTTGATAGCTCATCGTGATTTAAGAAAAAATAATTTATCAGCATGATTGTGTATAAACCAGAGCACAACATTGGGTTTCCATACCCATGCCCAAATCCACCCATGCCCATGGACTTTGGATGGCCTTGGAAACAATATTATTGTTCATGGATGGGCATGGGTGGGTATTGTTTCCAATTGTATGGATAGCATAGCTTCCAAATGGGTACGGAACCAATGCTCTTCAGTAATGCTTGAAACCTGAACCCTAAACTGTATGTTCGTCATGTAATAGTTGTCTCGTGTGTGTTCAACGCATTGGCGTGAACTCACGGAGTGCAAATTGCGTAAAATAGATCATTCCATTTTTTACCATAGAATAATTGTGAATCTGCCGGACATCGATTCTGGAAATTTTACATGTGACTGTGTTATTGAGATGATGGCATCTAGCTCTAGTTCGCTAAATGCGCAAGTGATGGAAAAGGAACTAAAGAAGACATCGCCGAATGACGCCGATCGTGTATTTTTGTTATGCTGGTTTATGTTACAATCCTGAGAGCACTCACATCAAGAGAGAGAGACATCCACTCAAGTAGATAAGAAAGAATAAAGAAGACTTGGCTACTCCTCTTTACTTATACTCAAAAATTTGGGTTGGTACAAGTAACTTAACCATGGTTACAAGTTTTAACCTTGGTTACATCTTATCCTGATTAGTAGATGCATGCATCTGTTGCCACCTACTCACCTACCATAGTGCATGCATCTGCACTTACTCTAGTTTTGTCCTAACTAGAGTTACGCTAACATTAGCTAAGAGCTTGGAGATATATTAACACTTGCCCTCAAGCTCAAGTCTATATCATGCACTCTTAACTCAAATTGAAACTGCTCAAACTGATCCCTAGGTAGTGCCTTAGTAAAGATATCTGCTATCTAATCTGAAGTAGAAACATATAGAAGATCTATGCTTCCATCTAGTACCTTCTCCCTGATG